ATCCCAAACCGGCCGACCGAAAGCTTAATTACCGAGGGAGGTCGGTAATTAAGCCCTCCGCCGCCGCCACCTCGGCAATCAAATCCCAAACCGGCCGACCGAAAGCTTTTTTACCCAGGGGAGTCGGTAATTAAGCCCGCCACTGCCGCCACCTCGGCAATCAAGTCCTAAACCGACCGAAAGCTTAATCACCGAGGGTAGTCGGTACTTAGGCCTGCCGCTGCCGTCACCTCGGCAACGAAATCCCATCGTGGTTGGCAATGCAGTATAGCATGAATCAGTTGATATGGAGCAAATTGTGAGCACGGGCGGGGTGCAATGGGCACTTCACTGTTTGGATGAAGTTTGTGCCTCCTCACATGCTCAATGGGCGCTTTCGGTGCTGGATCAAATTCGTGCTTCTTCACATGCTAATGATGACGGGACCCCTAACAGGCACATCGACTCAATAAACTGCATGCAGATTTCTGATTTTGGCGAGCTTTGCTGCTGATCGGGCCCATGTTTATCTGTTCTCGTTTTCATTCTCCTCGGAAAGGATTTGGGCTTATTCCCGAGGCCCACGGCTTAATTGCTGCCTGAAACCTTTGTTTAAGGAATTTACCAGCCACCGCTGCGGATGTCACGCGCTGGTTTGCTTTGCTTTCTTTCGCAGCCGCTCGTGCTCTCGCAGCGAGTCTCCTTTCCCCCCCAACGTTGATGGGGACCCCTTGGACTTGAGTGACCTTCTCGGGGCTGTGCACGAGGCACTTCCCCCCTCTCTCCCCAGCCGCCTGCCTCCGTGCGGCTGAGTGGATTTCGAGTGGACTTCGCGTGGACTTCGTGGACTTTTCGGCCGCCGTAGTTTGTGCACTGGGACCGCGAACGGGATTTCTTCGGGAAAACAGGCTTGCGCCAAGCTCCGCCAGGGTGAGCTTTCTCGCGCTAGGCACGTCCTCACGGCCGCTGAGCTCGCGCCAGGCACCGAGGCCACCTGGGATGCATTGACGGACCCAGCCAAACGCCCGCCCGAAGCACGCGCCACACCGCCGCAACACCTGCTCCAGTACCAACCTGAGCAACCCGTCCGCTTGTCTTCACGCGCGGTGGCCGCAGCGCTACGGGAAGCGCGTCGGGGGGGGGGCCGCTGGCCTTTCAGGAATGAGGGCAGAACACTTAAAGTTGTTCTTGCAGGACTTGGAAACATTGGAGTTGCTCACGGAGGCGGCAGCATGCCTTGCGCAAGCCGATGTGCCCTCGGACATCGCCGCCGGCTTGGCCATGGCACGGCTAACGGCTTTGCGCAAACCCGACGGGGGCGTACGGCGTACAAGGTATAGCCACAGGCGACGTTTTTCGCCGCCTGGTCTCCAGGACGCTCGCCAAGGAGTGGGCCCACACCTTTGACCAGGCCACACGACCGTACCAGTTCGCGCTCCAAGCCCGCGCAGGCACGGACGCCCTGGCAGCCTGCGCTCACGCGGCTCTTTCCCTGCGCCCTGTCGCTGGATGGCCGCAGCGCGTGCGACTGCATGTCCCACACCGCCTTCTTGACCAAACTGCACGAGGTGGCACGGAAGCTGCTCCCGTTTGTTTGGCTGTTCTACGGCCAGCCGTCGAGCTACTGTTGGATCTGTTGGTGGGATGCCGCTGCCAACTGCCGACTTGTGCCCCAGGGCCGCTGGCGAATGGTGGTCTTCGGATGTTTTCGGACTTGAGGACGCCGGCGACGGTTGAGCTGCCGCTGCCGCCGCATCGGCCAGCAGGCTCACTGGCATGGCCTCGGGGCGAGCGGAAAAGAAGTGTTTAAAAGGTTACGGTTCTACTCATGTCCTAGGCCTAGCACGACTGCCCAATGATGCAGGGGCCATTCAGAGAAACATGGCTGAATCAGGACTTGACACACTCAGCTGGCAAGTCAGGTGGCTCTTCCGACAGGCAACAGCAAGTAGAGGCACTGGTTGGATGTACGCTAGTGCCGCTTCAACATCCAAGCATGCTAGCAATGTTAAAAAATTACGCATGGCCACATATGCCATAGGGGTACACAGCGTTCTTGAGCCCCAGCAGCTTGACCATAGTGCACATAGACCCGACAAGCCCGACGTGAGAGTTTCACAGCGCCGAAATGCTCTCAACGTAGTTCAGTCGTACTTCGCAGACCACATCCGCCATGACGTCATTCGATGTGCTCGATGCGGAAATGGAGCGTCTGAAGTCCATGTCCGGTGGCGGTTCGAGCTTGGAACCAATATTGTGTCTTCTTCGCACAGGTACCGGTTGGCCTTGTCCGTGTACCCCCCGAGCATTGCAAACGATACGAATCACTGCACAAACTGAGGCGAGGTTTTCATGATGCTGGATTCCAAGCTGCTGTTCAGCCGCTTGCATTTGTTGGTTTTTTCATGTGACGCAGGACAGTTGGCGTGCTTCGTCGTTCCCATCGTATGGTTTCGTCATGAGGCAATTTGCTGCGGATAGGGCAACGCACTTTCAAGCCACATGCCCTGATGGTTCGCAGCCATTGATCTGGACACAGCAGGGCTCTCAGAGTGTGGGGAAATGAAACTGTAAGCTGCAGCCGTGAAGCCTTCCAAGCATGCCGAGGTATTTCAACGAATATCGCGAGCTTTTCGAGATGCACTTGCGACACATACTACACGGCTTGGGGATGACCGAAGATACATTCCATGAGCTGTGTGGGTACTTGCAGGAGACACGGTCTTGGTGTGAGCGGGGTGTTGCCTCTGCATCAACTTGATTGCGCAGAGTTTGAATAGTCACGGTGGGAGGTTCATGGGCCCATGCAACTCACACACACATGCACATCGGCGGAAACATAATCTGGACACAAGCACCACCCGCACACCGCAGCAAATCGAATCCTGGCTCATTACAACCTAAAAGGAATCACAAGCGGATAGTATTTTGATAATATCCACCTAAAGCCAAGGGGAAACAAGACTGGGAGAAAACCAAGGGGTGACATGGCCGTGGTGCGATGCTCAGACGGTTCGCAGGGTAGATTTTGGATTGGCGTATTGATTCTTCAGCTGGCTTGCTACATGGGGTGATGCTGTGCTATGCGTGTCACAGAGTGCCGGCCGGTGTGAAGGAGATCGAGGAAAATTTGGGCGACGATTCGGAAAACCTTTACGGCTACATCAAGGATACCTGCCTTGTGATCGCAGTTTCGTGTATGGTGCTTGGTTTCGCGCCAGGCCATAACATCATCTGAAGATTACGATGCCTTCCTGCAGCTGATGTTTGCAGAGGACCAGCTTGTCCTGTGCGTTCAGGTGAAGCACGAAGCTTCAAGCACAGCTTTGTTTCGAGGTTCAGCGGCAGCAATCGCTGGGAGTGTCACAGTTGCATTGCTGAAACGGCTTCATTGCACCGTGCACTCGGCTTTGGTAGCTGGGTTAGTAGTAACTTTTTTGCCTAGTCATGTTATTTTTCGTGCCGTTTCAGCAGGAGGGAAGGGGGTGGGGCAAGCAACTAATCGTGCACCCAAAACCCTAAACCAACGTACATTTTAATGGGGTGCAACTTATATCAATCCCCATACCAACCTCGCCCGTGAGCAGAGAGGGAAAAAACTTTAAACCCAATGCAAGCTTTCTACTTTGAACAAGCCTCGCATGCATCGAGGCCCTTAAACCTAAACTCTGAACCCTTCCTTTCCTGCATAGTCGCGGTGGTAGAGAGTACCTTGGTTTCACGCCGACTGTCCTCGATGAACCTGGCCTGGATTGTCCGAGTTGTGAGAGTCTAAACTCTAAGCTCTAAACCTAAAACCCCAGACGTATAACTCCCCCATAAACCCTAAACCCTGGTAGTTCAAACTGCAAGGTTGAAGCTTGTAGAGAATCCCAAGTGGTTATTGCTGTTTGTGACAAAAAGAAGTTATAGGTAAGCAAGGGTTTTTGTATCACTCCTGCTGAAACGGCCCCCACAAAAGTACGAGTAAGCAAAACCACAAGTTACTAGTTCCATTGAGAATGACAAAAGTTACGGCTAAGCAAAAAAAGCTCGCAGCCAAGCGTCAGTGTGCTTCCTCGACTCTTTGTATTTACCGAGGCAGGGACTTCTCAAGAGATCGAGGTGGTTGTGCCCGAGGGGATGGGCCCTGGAGAGCCCCATCCTCAGACATAACAAGGCAGTGCTTGCGATTTTGTTGGTATCCACTTGTCGCATACTTTTGTAGGACCCTACCGGTCGATTACTTGGGTGCCCGCTATGAGCTCATCATCCCGGACCCTCGCCTGCAGTTTACAAAAGGCTGGCAAGCGTTGCGTGGTTGGGCGCTTTTCCGCGGGCAGGCCACCGTTCCCCATTGCGACCTAAGGAGGGGTATACAGCGGGGATGACATTTCGCACCAGCATCCTGGTGTGAGAAATGCATGGCGAAGTAGAGTCTGTAGAATTTCCTTCTGCAGAGTGAGGATAGTGACGGCAAGGAGGTCTTGATTTGGAACAGTTTGCTGAATCATCGGCCAAAGGCCATGGCTGCAGCTGCACCAAGCATGCACGGAGTGTGTCTGCTGATTTGCATGCTTCGAAAAAATTGGGCCAGCCCTCCAAGTCACCGACATCCTAAAAAATGACTTGAAAATCTACGGGACGGGCGGGCGTCGGGGCGACCACGGGTCTGATACGCCCTTCGGCTTCCTGGGTTCATTGATATGCCCTTCGGAATTTACTGCTACGCTTTTCCCCCGGACAACTGATAGATGCCTTCCGGTGGGCCCTCGCACGCATAAGAAGGGAGGTTCTGGGGGAGACAATCTCATCATCCAATGTGCTTAACAATTGACGTCCGCCGTTGCTCTTGCGGTCCACCAGCAGCAACGCTTGCCCGCAGTCTGATGGACCTTTGAGCTTGGTTGTGTCTGAGTATTTGTTAAGAGCATCAAGTGCCCTATTTCGCCTCCCAGCATGCGCAGCTCACGATATCGGGATTATAGCCCCGCGTCCTTCCCAGTGTTGATTGTGGCCATGGCTGACGTCGAAGAGTTCGAAGAGAATGAGTCGAAGCCCGGCGAGGATCAGGCCAACGGTGTCAGCGATCGGAAAATGAGATCACTGCGCCTCGCCCAGCGCAGTCTGGAAGCGACCGGTCCTGTCGGTGGCTTCTTGTACTGAACATGGAAGATCACCACGTGAACAAATATGCACCCGCGCAAGGTTGAAGAAGCAATTAGTCGACGATGCCAGCGTGGCGGCTTTTGCTCAACTCGGATCTTCGTTCTTTGCTGCTGCACGGGCACGTTTGGCCGACTCGCGCGATGCAGCCCAGAAGCAAATTTGAGCCGATCACCCACTCACGGTGCAGCATTCCAGCAGAATTCTCCAATTTGTGATAGTTTACGCATCCGGATTTGCGCATGTTTTTCGTATGCATGAATCATGCAGCACGTTCTTTGGCTGCTGGGTTTCGCTGCTTTGCGGAATAAAAGCACTTTTACACGCATTTGTGGAACAACAGTCTATGTATTTATCGAGTCATTAGTTTTCTGCCTAGGGTTATGTGCTTGCATATATCTCTGCGTATATAATACATGTGCAGCAGCCTGGAGCCACCGACAGTGCGGGGCAAGTAAGCCTTTTGCCGCAACGCGGCATGTGTTGGCGTGCGAGCCGTGTATTCGTTTGTGGGCAGCAGGTGGTTTTCCTCCTGTTGGTAGAAACACGCAGATGGATGTGAGGAGATAGCGGCAATTCATCCCGGAAGCGATACCCCGACTCTGGTGCAGGCAATGCCAACATTGCTCTCGTTGTATTTTGTTTATTGCGGGTGCAGTTCCTTCTGTTGCCAGTCCCGTGGCCTTCCATTTTATGACTTAGTAGGACCTGTATGTTCTAATCTATATACAGATTCTAGGGATGCGCATTGCACTTGCAAAATGACCAGAACCAGGCCAACTGCTGTGGATAGGCTTTAGGCATGGAACAAAGCCAAACATCGTTGTCTAGAACACTTGGAGGTCACGAGGCCTCGCAAAGACCACTTGAAGAAAGAAACGACCGTAAAGCGTCTCACGTCTCAAGGAATCTGGTGCTCCGACGGCGGAGTCTGTGCGGACGAGGCACCAACGCCTCGCACAAGATGCCAGGCAGGTGCTCTCCTTGCGTTGGGTGAAAATCGAGGAGCCTCGTCGCTTGCAAACGCGTCAGGTTGGCTGCAGGGCGCGGGCAGTGGGATCTGAGGGACAGGCAGCCGAGCCTTGGCAGAACTTCGGGGCTTCGGTGGCAGACTTGTCAAATGTCTGAGCTCACCTGAGGCCGGTCGGTCGACCGAGCGAAGATAGAACAGAGCAGGCAGATCAGGAAGAGGAGGAGCAAGCTCGAGTGGAAGCGGAGCGCCTTGCAAGACTGTCGAGATTGGATGCCAAGCGAAAGCGCCTGCAGGGTGGGGAAGGCCCAGGCGAAGACCACGAAAGCAAGGCATCAGGTGGTGTTCGGCGACCCCGGCTGTCTTTTGCCGGTGAGGAGGACGACTTCTAGTCGAGGCAAATCGAGCTGTTGCGTGACGGAAAATGCTCTCGCAACCGGAATTCTCGCGAAGTATGACATGAGCGCCGCAAAAATGAAGAAGACCCTCAGCTCGTGCACTGCTCCATCTGGACACCGGAAATGTGGAATGTATTTCGCCGACCAGGGGGCACCTGGCAGCAGCCGCAGCGTGTGCTTCTGAGAAAAACCGTTGCGACTCCATGCGGCCTTCGATGCAGGTTCGCTACACATCTTCCCCGCAATGCTACATCTCTTTGCTCGATGTGATGTGAGTTACAAGGTCATGGTAAGCACAACAGCCCTTTCAGAGAGATTTCATTCTGAAGAGATCGATCGGCTTCGCCAGCGCTAGATCACTGCAGCAATCCCCAGTAGGTAGGCCATGCAGGACTACACGGCCAATCCCTGCAAACCACGTTCGAACACATGTGGTTGCCTGCGTCGAGACATGTCGAAACAGGTTCATACTTCAGCCTGCGCTAGGGTTAAAGCGGGACCACCGCTCTAGGCCTCCGCATGGTCTGGGCCATTGCCCATGCAGCCCAAGAAAAAGGCAGAGTATGGCAGAGGGGGGTGCCACGATGGAGCCGAACCCGATCTCGCAGCGCGGACGCCAGTACCAGACATGCTACTGGTAGCACATTGGCTCAGGCTGCCGGCGAGGCGGAAGTTCTGGGCTCAGTCAGGGTGGTTCATGGTCTGAGCCGGTTTGGGCAAAGGTGCGACGCGACATGAATTTAAAGTTCAATCATTGTGACATCTCCAGTCAGGCCTTCGATGGGATCTTGCTCAAGCTTGAGTTGGCCTTGTCGAAGGCAGCTTTTCTGACTTTGGGCCACATTGAGTTACAAACTTGCTCAGTCTTCCCTCTTCATGCTTGAACACCGTACAGTTTCGTGATGTTCCGTGCCTCCATGTCTTGGGCTCCACTCCTCCCTGTTCCTCCCTTACCTGTCCAGAAATCAATGTTTTCATTTTTTGGTCTTTCTGCTCGTCCGCTTTCCTACCTTTCTCCTTTGGCTTGTACGTTGCCCACCCAGTTTACTTCTTTACAATTTTCTGGAATCCCCTTAGCCTGCTTTCTCCTTAAACCTTGCCAGGTCAGCAGCAGTAGTGTATTGTAGTAGTTGCTGTAGTAGTAGTAGTACTCGTAGTAGTAGTAGTAGTAGTAGTAGTAGTAGTAGTAGTCGTATTGGTAGTGGTAGTGGTAGTGG